AAAAAAAAAATTAATTAAATAAAAAAAAAAAAAGAAATGTGCTGTTCAAAATTTCTGCCACAAAGCTTTCGATAAAAATACAAAATATGAAGGAAGCAAAATATTTAAGCTAGATCATTCAGCATAATCATTATTGTTGATGATTAATGTCAATTTTCTAAAAATGATTAACGTTAATGTTTGTGTTCTCAAAAGAACCTCGAACGCCTTCTTCTCGTTAACAATCGACAAGTAATTTAATTTTAAGAACCAAATTTGGTCAGATGATGTTTGTCAAACAAGAATTCAAACAAACAATAGAACGAAATTTGATCAGATAATATTCGTCAAACAAAATTTCGAACAAATATAACAAATAACAGAACAAAAATAATCGACAAATAATTCGATCAAATAATATATTTCGTCAAAGAAAAATTCAAACAAATAATATAACAAATAATGGAACAAAATTTGGTTAGATAATATTCGTCAAAAAAATTCGAACAAATAATAGAACAAAATAATCGACGAATAATAGAATGAAGTTCGGTGAGATGATATTCGTCAAACAAGAATTCAAACAAATAATAGAACGAAATTTGATCAGATAATATTCGTCAAACAAAAATTCGAACAAATATAACAAATAACAGAACAAAATAATCGACAAATAATAGAACGAAATTTGATTAAATAATATATTCGTCAAGCAAAAATTCAAACAAATAATAGAACAAAATAATCGACGAATAATGGAACGAAGTTTGGTGAGATGATATTCGTCAAACAAAAATTCGAACAAAACGAAATTTCATTCTGCTCCGATAATAAATGTTTCAGTACGTGGGTACTACGGCGCGTTGCTACGGCCCTGGTTTCCAAAGGTACCTATCGGCCGAGCCACCCAGCACACCGTCAGTGCATGCTGGCTCGTCGCGCCGGTCAGATCGTTCCCCCAGTTCTGCGTTCGTTTCCAGTTTGACAGCTGTGTAGCCTTCTTGGCATCCCTCCCAATTTTCCCTCGGCGCTAATACTCGTCTAATCTCTACCGTTTGTCTGCACGCCTTCGAATCGATCGATCGATCGACGAGCACAAGATCTATACATCACGGGGGATCGAAATCGCGCAGGTTAACAGCAAGAGAGATTCGAATAGTGGGAATAGCAATCAGGATGCCGGCAGACGCTGAGCTCAGTAATCTGCTTAGCAGGAGGCAGAGGATCAACGACGAGCTCGAGGAAGGGAAGGAAGTGAAAAAGCAGTACAAATTCGTCAACGTTTACACGGAGTTCCACGAGCTGTCCCGTCGCGAGATCAAACAGTACGAGCAGACCTTCAACAGGTGAGCCAGGCCTTCCTCGTTTTTCTCTTTCTTATTTTTTTTTCCCCCTCTCCCTTCCCCGCTTGTGATTTTTACAGACGAGTCGTAAGTAGTGAAAATTCTTGTCGTCGTGTTTTTATTGTCCCACGCTGTTCGTGTGTGGGGGTTCTTGGAACGAGAACAACCGTGGACCCATATCTTTCCCTTCAGCTAA